ATTGCGGGAAGCCAGGGAGGAGCTGGGTGTAAATGTGAGAATAGAAAAGGTGTGGGGCGTCCTGAAGCCACTAAGAGATGCGGTGAGTGGAGCTGTGCTGGTAGAACTCTCAAGTAGAAATGCATATTAAAAAATAATTGACAAAATCATACCATATTTATGTTACCCTAAATAAGCACTTACCACTTTTCTTTTTGTAAATTCATTGTTTGGTTGATAAATAATGGTGAAAAAGGATTGTGACATTGTAAGAGCTCTGTGTTGATTATTTGGTCTGACCATCTGCCCAAAATACCCAAAGATTCCTTATACAAGTAGATAAAATAGAAATGAGCAGGAATTTCTGTAAAAACCTTCAAAACATTCGAATACCTGAGATAAATTTGAATTAAAAATCTGTTCATGTGTTTCGGTCCAGTCGGGCATGGTTATTGCTCCTGTGCTGGCTAACCTCGGTCCTCTAGAGGAGCTGAACTTCAAACCAAACCCTGGGGAGGTACGATCATCTGCCATTTTCTGTCTGTTTGAAAAGAACAGGGTGAGACTAGAGTTGACTAGTCTCATGTTATTCTTGACCCTAATATATAGTACTGTGCAGAAGTCTTGAGCAACTCCTCATTGCTTTATATTTTGCTTCCAAGGAGCTGGACAATTTTTAAAAATATAATTACTGAAGCTGAATCGAATAAAAATGCCAAAAGTTTGAGAGTCTGTTTCCCGCTTCCAGGTGGATGAGATCTTCACCCTGTCCTTGTCTCACTTGTGTAACCCCCAAAACCGAGGCTACACACACTTCCGCACCGGTGACAAATACGGATACACTCTTCCGGTGTTTAGGAATGGCAAACATCGAGTGTGGGGCCTGACTGCTGTTGCCCTAGACCATACCCTGAAACTCATTGTCCCTCCATAATAGAGCACAACAACTGAACTCAACAACTGAAGGATTATTCTGACAAATATAAGCTTTGCACCAAGTGAATCTGAGCAAATCCAAAATGGTTTAATACAGCCGCTTTTGTTTTGGAAGGTAAATTCCTCTCTTGAATTTATTAGAGTGAGGAAGAAGCTCTTTCTGCTAGTGCACTTTCTGAGCCTTAAATTTGTATGATTGTTTAAAAATGAAAAGCAGGTGTTGGAAGCTTTTCTAAGGAAGAACGTGAACCTGGTGGGTCAACGTTATAATTTTACACCGAGTGATTCTTATTCAAACTCTTTACGTTTTTAGGTAAGTCTTTTAATTATTTCTATAATAAAAGTTACCACCTGGGTTAAAATAAAATCAGTGAGTTGCTTTCTCAGATCAATTATGTCACATGACTGTGAATTGTTAAATGTTTGTCAGGGCAGCAAAGTACCGCTGTGACAGCCTGTTTCCTGTGTTAGCTAACATTAGATCAACTGAAGTAATCGGAGTATTTAGGAGTGATGTGGTGTGTTGAAGAACAATGCAATAAACTTTGTTTTAAACATATTTTCTCTGCATGGTTTATTTAATTTACAAGATTGACATCAAAGCATTAAATAAATACAGCAATTTACAGTAAAACAGTCTGATTCCCGTCGGAGATCGAAAGCTTTCATTTTACTTAGCTGTCTACTTTAAAACTGCATGTGGTCTCATATATACTGAGCACATGTATTACAAACTGTGTTTAAAACTGTAAACCTTTGTTTCCACTAAGGTAAGTAAGGTCCTCGAACGCGCTGGTATTTCCTGCCTGGGCCTGATTATGATCTCAAAGGTAACTGGACTGTCCCAGCTTCAAGGCAGTGAGCACTCCAAGGGGTCCTGTGAGTCTGGGAGAAGGTGGCAGTTGAAGGGCCAGCTGAAGGAAAAGAGATCCAGGGCTTGGCTGCATTGCTGCTCGGCCGAGGAGCAGACTGAGCGGCAGGGTTGGAGGACGCCGCCCTGAGGACTACACTGGGGCAGAAACATCCCACAAACCAGCCTCTGCAGAGGCTCAAAGCACGCCAGCTCCATCAGCACCTGGATGACAAAAGGAGGGGAGGGAGGATGGTTTGATGCCTGGTTTGAAACAGTTGCCAGCTACAGCTCCAGACGTCTGATGAAGCTTTTTGATGTGACTTTTACCCGATACTGTCCCAGGAGGGTGGCCGCTTCTCTCTGGTCAGCAATGGACAGCCAGATGTTGGGGAATGAGGTGAAGTTGTAGCTGAGGCCCCGACACATCTCTACTTCAATGTGCTCACAAGACGAGGCTACTTTCATGAGAGGAAATTATTCATTCAGAGAAACACTTACAAATAGAAACCACAAAACCATGTCGACATAGAGGTGAAAAGTGGTAACATTTCTATTTGGTGGTTTTCTCAGAATATGAAGCCATCGGCAATTCCTGTTATTTCAACACTTAAGTTTCTTCCTGCTGCTTTTCATTGGCAGTGGAAACAAAAACTGGCTGTGATTGAGGTCAGAGATAAACCAGACTCACTAAAGGGAGGATAGGTGGAGTTGCCACAGCCCTGTTCATCCGCACCATCGGGGCAGTCGTTCCAGCCGTCACACAGCCACTGCTGCTGAACACACTCCCCTGTGCTGCAGGCGAACTGCCTGGGGCCGCATGTCCCTTTAAAAATAAAAAGGATGTAAAAGAGGCTTATAGAAAGCTAATGCAAAAAAAAAAAAAAAGTAATATTAAAGTATGAAAACTCACTGCCCAGCACAGACACAGCCTGGTATGTTACATTGAAGCCACTGTCGGCCACTCCCTCATCAGCCACAAACACCACTGTCATGTGAGGGCCAGAGGAGGTCAGCTCTGGGGGGAAGGTGGTACCACAAAACCTGGCACAAAGGGAGAAGAGACACAAAAGGTACTCCAGAAAACTGGTTGTTTAACTAGCATGAAGGTAAATGTGTTTGTCCTTAGTTACCCTCAGAATTAAAGACTGTGGCACTTCTCACCTTCCGAGGACTCTTCCAGCTCCGGTGCTGACGCTATCATGCACCTCCACATAGTCAAACTCACACACATCCTGAGTCTCCAGGCTGAAGTTTCTGAAGCTCAGCGTGATCACGTGACCCTCCTCAACAGATATATGCCATATACACAACTGGAAAACATCAGATTAGTGGAGAAAACTGCGTGGTGTGGTGTGGCTGTCGGACTGAGAATGTGTTATGCATGTGGAAGTACTTCTGAATCTTTATAATTTTGGTGTTTTCAATTACTATTAGGATTATTTTTCAGTTTGAATGGTTTAGAATGTAACCTGCTGGTGAGGGTAAGGCCCGGGGTGGTTTGGACTTGCCAGGTAACCATACGGCCCAATCTTCTGCCCACCGCATTCTGTGAAAAAGAAAAGCATCTCTTCAGTGGCTCCCTGTTAATCCCAGAATTGAAGTAAATCCTTCTCCGCATATACAAGGTCTTGAATAATCAGACCCCATGTTTTCTTCAAGACCTCATAATACCATATCAACCCAATAGGGCACTTTGCTCTCAGACTGCTGGTTTACTTGTGGTTCCTAGGGTATTTAAAAAGCAGAAAAGGAGGCAGAGCCTTCAGCTTTCAGGCCTCTCTTTAATGGAACCAGCTGCCAGTTTGGATTCGGGAGACAGACACCCTCTCCACTTTTAAGATTAGGTTTAGCACTTTCCTTTTTGTTATATCTTATAGTTAGGGATTGATCAGGTGGCCCTGGATCCCCCCTTAGCTACACTGCAGTAGACTAGGCTAACTGCTGGGGGATTCTCTTGATGCAGATGATGGCCGCCCCTCCCTGATTGTGGTTCTGCTGGAGGTTTCTTCCTGTTAAAAGGGAGTTTTTCCTTCCAACTGTTATCAAGTGTTTGCTGGTAGGGGTTCATCTGATTGTTGGGATTTTCTCTGTTATTGCAGGGTCTTCATCTTCCAATATAAAGCACCTTGAGGTGACAGTTGTGATCCAATGTTATATAAATAAAAGTGAGTTGAATTGTGACCTTTGACCTTTCCTGTTTCTGTTTTAGTTCCATATGTGGACTCTCACCCTTGTGCTTGTGGCTGCAGTTTGCCTCGTCCATCTGGTCGTGGCAGTTTGGATGACCGTCGCACACAGACACAGGCAGCAGGCAGCGGCCGCCGTCGCACATGAACTCTTCTCTGGAGCAGCTTTCTGAGAAAACACAATGTGCTAACTTGAACATTGTTGCAAAACATATACAAGAGTGAACGCTTGTGCTCCCAGATGCAGGCTACTGACTGTGTCCGGGGAGTACCGCCCTGTACTGGGCAGTGAAGCCGTTGCCTGCGATGCTGCCATCAGAGTGGAAGGTGACCCACACCGTACTGCTGTTTGTGTTGGCCGTCGGTGGCGCTACGTTACCACAGAACCTGCAAGGGAGACATTTGTTTTTGATCAGTCTCATTCTTGTTCAGCTTTGGATTGAACTTTGTGCCTGAGCCATGCAGCTATAAATTCTTAAAAGGATTTGTAAGCAGGAAATGTGTTACGTAGTTAGAGGAATTTAATGAATCACGTTACGACACTGTCCAGGAATGTGAGCAAAAAGGTCAACGTGTTGATACGTACAAAATTTCCAAAAACCCTTCAGTACATGGAAACGCTTTCCAATGATGCACGGGCTTTTGGCGCCATCTATCAGCAGTTTAGTGAAACAGCATAATGCTCCTACTCTGTGTATAAAAATGTTGCTTGTGGAAATATGGAGGTGTGAATGATGTTCATAAGAAGGTATGCTTCATGATCGCTGACCTGGTGACCACAGAAGTCTGCTCGATCTGCTCCCGCACCTCCACCCAGTCAAACAGGCAAGGAGAGGGTCCCTCCACAGTCAAAGAGGAGACATGAATCTGGACCAGGTAGGGGGGCGGGACCTGAATCACCCACACACACAGTGAGTTTGGGGGGTAGGACGCAGGGTGATTTGGAGAGCTGAAACTTCCTTCAGTGTCAGTTAAAACACCTCCACATCCTGAGAGGCAGAGAGAGGGAGAGACCTTGTGTCTTAGGTCAACAAAAAGTATTTTGGGTAGAGAGGCCAGACCTACTTGGTTCAGATGGAGGGATTCTGGCAGGTTGTGGTGCAGCTGTACTGTCCTCTTTACTTCTATTGATAGGGACTGTAGGTAAAGCTTGGGACTGTCCATCTCCTGCATGCTGTAGGCCTGAAGTGGCAGTGGTCAGCACCTGATCCTCCACTGCCTGGTTCTTTATCTCTAAATAAGGAAGCAAATACATCTGGGTCAGAAGATTTTTATGATGTGCAGTGAGAGCACTAGTCATGCTGAGAAACCTTTAAACTCCAGTATCTGTGAGTTCATGGTGTACTTTGAGGTTTTAGCATGGATCCTGGGTTTATGAAATCACTCAATACTTTTAATCAGTTTGAGATTGTGGTAATGAAGCAGTTGATGTGCAGCAGTGACTCACGTGTGAGAATGAGGACCAGCATCAGTCCTAGGGCTGCTAATAGGAGCAGGACAGCAGCAGAGACCACTACCACCCCCCAACCGCAGCCCGGAGCACGCACACGCATCACACACACACCGAAAAATCCCCAGACTAGGCCTGAAAGAAATGCATAGTACATCTGTAATCTCTTTTTCCCCCACTTTGTTTTCTTTTTGGTTTTTCAAGAACTGTATTCTGGGAAATGCATTCATTTGGAAATAAGGACATCACTGAAAACTTCCAAACTCACCACGTCTATTTAAAGTTGACATAACCCTGATGACATCACTATGATATGTTTATGGGATTTGTTTCCTTTGAGAACAGCTAAAGAAGGCATCAACTGTACACTTTTTACAACTTGAGTACAATTATCATGAGGCCACATTTACCTATATTTCAAGAAAACTGAGCTTAAGTGATAAAATGATCCCGTTAGGGTAGAGGCACAAGAAGCAGCAAGCTGATTGGCTGACTCACTTGGTCCTGGTGGTTTGATTGGCTCAGGAGTAGAAGAGGCTGTCCTGAATCCCTCCACCCTCTCCTCCTTCTCCCCCTCCAGCTCAAAGGCGGGATTGCAAAAGACATTCTGCGGATGTAAAAATCAAAGATTCACACAAGTGCTGGTTTTAAAAAAAAGCTTTTTTAAACTCTTCCTCTGCTTTCAAATAAAAAGCAACAAAACACACCTTCAGTTATTAGAACACACACATCTTATGGTTCCATTTCACTACTGGTCGGGTTACATGTAACATTTCATATGACACTGACCCATCATTACCTTCAGATCTGGTTAGCCAGATATCTGACTCCTTTGTGGCTAAATGTCCAGGTATGTTAACCAGCTAGTTACTGTGGAAGTTAGAATATCCTTTTTTTTTTTGTAGCAAAAACTAACTGCATCACTGAAAAATTTCAAATTATTTTCTCAGAAGCTTGTGTTAATGAGTTGAAAGTTTGAGATATAAAAATTTGTTTTTCAGTAGTGTAAACAGCTTCTATATGTTATTGATTGTGTCTGATGTTTGCGTGGGAACCCTGCTCTTTGTTAT